CGGACTCCAGTGAGTTGTCTCCTGCTGTGAAGCAAACCACCCCAAAACCCTAGGGCCACCTGAAGCCTGTTGCACGTGGCCCTAAAACAACAAGGCCCTCCTGTACTCCCAAGCCCTCCCTTTGAGCTTGGGGGCTGGCTCACTTCATCCCCACGTGGCACCAGCCGAGGCAGCCCCCGGGCAGCAGGGACCCTTTCCTGGCAGATCAGCTGGGGTGGGCGGAGGCCCTGGATCTGCTTCACGGACTCAGGAGTCTCTGCAGAATGGCGGCCGGGACCTGAGGGAGCACCCAGGAGGTCAGAGGACCCAGTCCCAGGTGGCATCATCCCACCGCCTCGGGCTGAGACGTCCCAAGCTGCAGAGGCTCAGGGCAGGTGCAGGCCCACCCTGTGGGTGTCACGGTCACACTGAGGAAGAGCCTGTGGGGTGGGGTCGCTGAGAGCCCAGATGGGTTGTCTCCACCGTTGAACACAACACAGCTGCTGGTGAAGGGACGAACTGTCCATCAGCTTCCTCCTATGCGTCAGGCACCTCCATCTGCACACCAGACCGGTGCTCAGCAGTGCCAGGAGATTTACACCACAGGCACCTGAGGGCCAGGGCAGGGGCAGCCTGGCAGGAGGCAGCCACAATGATGCTGGACACAAGGAGGGGACCTTGGAAGGGACAGCGTGAGAGCCCGGTGTTTTTAGAGCAGTCACAAGCGTCCTACGTGATGTGATGGTCGAAGCCAGCAGGAGCCGGTGAGGGGCAGAGGGTCCACATGGCAGAAGGTGCAGATGGGGCGGCTGTGGCCTCCTGGCCCTGAGGGCATCCCAGCGAGCCAGGCCCGCCGCAGAGGCACAGGAGCTGTGGGACCCACGGTCAGGCAGGCCAGGGTGTCAAGGATGCACCCTCATTTATGTAACCAGTTCCCTGTTAAGACGCACTTAGGTGATTTCCCACTTCTGTTCTGCCGCGCTTTGTCTGCTTTGCAATTACAAACAGCCCCTTCAAGACTGGCCCTATCCGTACATCAGGCATTCCACCGAGAATGCAGATGCTGGGTGAATTCCTAGCAGGTCTGCTATTGAGTCATTGGCTTCTCTTTCACCTAGAAAGGCCCCAGAATAGGTCTGAGTGGCCTGGAAATGGGGTGGGGCCTGTATGCAGAGACATCGCGGACTTATTACCTGTCTTGGCAAAAGGTGGGAGGAAGAAGGTGTGAGACAGGGTTTGGGGGTGGGGTGTGGAGGAAGGGAAATGTCACCCCCAGACCGGCCAGAGATTCATCTGTTTCCTGTGCTCTTCCAATGCCGTGAGAGGTAGATACGGCGACTGTGACCCCAGAACCAACCCAGAGATGGTGGGTCTCGAACTAAGCAGCCTCAGAGCCACCTGGAGGCTCCTTGGAGCGCCAGGCCCCACCCCACAGTTCGTGAGCCGGCAGCCCCGGGGGGCAGCCAGGAATCTGCATTTCTATCAAGTTCTCAGGTGATGCTCCATGGCTGGCCCAGGCACCCCACTTTGAGGACCACTGAGAAGACAGTCGCTCAGAGCAGCAAGAGAGGGGTCAAGGGAGGCCCCGCGGACCAGCATCACGACCTAACTGGTACCTGACTGTGTTGGTTCCAAATGTGCCGCTTTGCTGCCGAAGTCCCCAACCCCGGCTCTCATGAGGATCACGTGGGCGGCACCGAGAAAGCTGATGGCCGCGCTGACTCCCCAGTCACACCAAAATCCCTGGGGCAGCCAGGCCTCTGGAGATCCTCAAAGCTCCCAGACGATCCCACAGCAGGCCTGAGAGCCGGCCCTGCAGAGCTGCGGACGCCGGGCCTGGTGGTAGCTGAGGACTTCGCCGCAGGCTTCATGTAACTTTAGAGAGTTACGTCTCCTCACAGGCCACATCACAGAGGAAAACCAAAGCATCCAAAACAGGCAAGGGCCGTCCTGTTCCCTGCCTGACGCCGGCGCCTGCAGGGACAGCCTGAGGTGTCGTCAACACACCAGAGACCTGTCTTTCCTTCCACTGTGGCCTGGAGGCCGCTGCCTGGACTGATTGAACAGGTTGCATCTCCCGGCTAAAGAACAGCAGCCTTTTTCCAAGACCTTTCCCACGTATCTGTGGTATTTCAATGATTGACAAACGGACAAAAATATATTTATTTAGGGATTATCTATATTGAAAACTAGACATGGGTTTTTTTCCTCTGTCAACATTGCAGTAATATCGGCTGTTTGAACAAAAGGAGAGGCATTTTTCCATTCAATCCTGAATGGTGAAAATTCTCCAGCTGATACTCAGAAAGACATTTGGTTTTATTGGTCACATTAGCCGAATAAGTTTAAACTCTGGTAGCCAGGCAAGGAGAAGGTTGATTTCCTCTTTATTGTAAAGGCTATTAGGTGGGAACCAGATAGAGAAGTTATTTGTCTTCTGACGGTTCTGCAGCATCACAGCCACGCACATACGTTCCGGAAGTTTTGTTCAAAGCCCGTGCTCTGATGGCGTCTAACACTGAGGCGTCTCTTCCAGGAAACCCAATTTTACTTTTTAACTCGTGGCTTATTTCAAGAAGGTGCTTTGTCACAGATGGTGGAAATGTACTTTTCCCTGCTTTAATTTATAAGACATTTTAAGACCGAGAATTAACAGGCTCACTGGGACACAGAACCTGGAGCCCTGGGCCCTGCACGGGGTCCTTTCCTGGGCCTTGTTTTCCGGTATCTCCAAATCTGGGGAGAGGCCTCTCACACCCCGAGGAGGGCCACGCTGCTGAATCTCCTCCCAGCTTTTGGTCTGTCCTCTGGTCTCAGAGTCAAAGGAACAAGCCAAATCCCTCAACCGCGCCTCAAAAACATCGGCATTGGCCGGACGCGGTGACTCACGCCTGTGATCCCAGCACTGTGGGAGGCCGAGGTCGGTGGATGGCTTGAGCCCAGGAGTTCGAGACCAGCCTGGGCAACATAGCAAGACTCTGCCTCTATGACAAATACAAAACAATTAGGCTGCAGTGAGCTACGGCTGCACCACTTGCACCACCATACTCCAGCCTGGGTGACAGAGTGAGACTCTGTCTAAAAAAAACACACAAAGACCAGGTTCAGTGGCTGACACTTGTAATCCCAGCACTTAAGGAGGCTGAGGTAGGAGGATTGCTTGAGCCCAGGAGTTCAAGACCAACTCGGGCAATATGGTGAAACCATGTCTTTATTTTAAAAAAAAAAAAAAAACCACACACACACAGAAAACACAGCCGTTGTTCCCTGAAGGAAAAGCTCAGTTACAAAAAATTTCCTTTCCCAGGATTTGTTGCTATTTTCTGACTTATCAGTGAACATCAAGGAAAAGATTGACTCTGAAGAGCCACCATCTGAGATCTGGGCAGACACACTGTGGAATCTGTGGAATGAAGAGCCCTCGGTGACAGGTGCTCTGTGGCCTCCGACCGTCCGAGATCCAGGCAGACACGCTGTGGAATGAAGGTCCTTGGTGACAGGCGCTCTGTGGCCTCCAACCGTCCGAGATCCAGGCAGACACGCTGTGGAATGAAGGTCCTTGGTGACAGAGATCCAGGCAGACACGCTGTGGAATGAAGGTCCTTGGTGACAGGCACTCTGTGGCCTCTGTCTCGTCCTACTCTTCAGAGTGCCCGACTTTGCCCCCCTGGTAGAAGCTCACGCATCCAGCGGCCAGCCCTTCCCTTGCTTTCTGGGAGAAACACCGTGACTTGTAGAAATGACCACAATATTTTTTTAAATGAAGTTATGCAAATCTGATAGACTGAAGTAAATGTTTCATAAAACCAATGACTGTTTAAATTGTAGGACTAAATTGTTTGTATATAAATATTACCTTTTATATTCCATTTGAGTTTTATGTAGATGAGCACATTACTTTAATGACCTGCATTTGCGGAGGGAGAGAGGGAGAGCGGCTCCCCGAAACCCCCACCAGCCAGATGGCTGCCTTTTCTTGCATGAGATTAAAAGATGTTTCTCATTCACGGAGATGCTTCTGAGGCAAATTAATATCGCTGGCTAAATTGCTTGTGTTTTTGGAATAAAATTTAAAGAGAACTTTTTAAAGCAATTGGTGTCACAGGTTCTGGGAGAAGATTACTCTCCAGGTAGATTCGGTAATTAATGGAAAGAATTCTGTGTTAATTGACTGCTTCGGGAAGGGAAATGTAATGACTCCTTATTAATCATGAAAAGAGACGCTGCATGCGGGGACGGCAGTAATTGCTCTAACAGTGGAGAAATGTTAATTAATGAAAAGAACAATGATGTAAGAAATTAGCTGCATAACACTTGCTGCTGAAGGAGGTAGGATTTTAAGCACATTATTTAGAGTGGAAACCACAGAATGTTGCCTTGAAAAACACACACTCTTGCCACCCAAATTTAAGGGGAAAACCTGTCAATGCTCTCGGCATTTTTGCTTGAGAAAGCAAAAACATTCACCCCAGAGCTATATTTATTTCACACAAAATGGCCTTGTTGTTCATCTCCAATCCGGGCTTCTGAAACCAAAATCATCCCCAGACCAAAACGAGGTCATTTGTTAATGTAATTTCAACACATTAGGTCATTTTGACTGCTAAGAACAAAGGGAGTACAAAGTATTTTTCCCTAAACTAAAAGAAATTCCATTTACAATATTTCCCAGCTAACATAAAGAAAAATTCAGATTCACTTTCAGGACAGAGTATCTTTTTAAAAAAATCTAATTCTAAGTCCCAGAGAGAACATAGCAGCTTCCACTCTAACGACTCATTTTCAGAAAAGGGAGCAGCATTTGTTAGCACACAAGGGCCTGCGGAGCCCAGTCCCAGGCGACAGCGTCCCCAGAGCCCCGGTGATGGCTGGGTTGAGTCTGGGGCACTCCCAGCGAGCGCCCCACAGGTCCGCACAATGGGGAAAGTGACAGGTCCTCAGGACCAGGCTGCAGAGGGGCGGAGGACCGGGCTCCCCGGGCTCCCGGGTGGGGCCCCGCTGACCGCTGGCTCTCCCCACAGGTGGAACGTCCTGGGGCTGCAGGGCGCGCTCCTGTCCCACTTCGTGGAGCCCGTGTACCTGCAGAGCATCGTGGTGGGCAGCCTGCACCACACGGGCCACCTCGCACGCGTCATGAGCCACCGCATGGAGGGTGTGGGCCAGCTGCCCGCCTCCTACCGGCACAACCGGCCTCTCCTCAGCGGTAAGAACCCCCCTCCCGGGGCCGTCCGCCTCCTTCCCACCACCAGGCCAGACGCAGCTGTGCCCGGCGGTGCCATCCCCGGCAGACTGCACCCATGCTGGCTAGTGGCAATTTATGATTTAATAGGCAAAGTCCTCTGATTTTAAAAAGGAAAACTGATGAGAGGTTTCAGCGTCTCTCTGCATATAGCCAACAGGCCAGGTCTTGCGGTGAATTCACGACTGTGTGACGATGCTGTTTTCAGAATGGGTCGTGGTGCTGTTTTCACAGCGGTGTCTGAAGGAGCCCTGAAAACAGAATCGCTAGTGCTGGGCTCACCCGAGAGGCCCCACCTGCCCGCCCACAGGAGGCGATGCTGAGGAAGAGCCAGGTGGGCGAGGAGGGGCAGGGAGGGGGGCACGAGGGCCACACGGCGAAGCGGGTCTTCAGGACCCAGGGCCCCAGGTCCTCCACACCCTTCAGAGGCTGCAAGGTGACTCCGCAAGCCCTGGGCCGGCTCCGCACCAGGGTTCCCCACAGCCCAGCTGTCCTCAGAGACCCGAGCCTCCCCGAGCCTCCACTTCCCCACGTTACCTGGGGCCTGCCCGGGCTGCCTGGCACACAGCCAGTTGCAAGGATGAAGAGTCCCTTGGCAGCTGTGAGGTGCCCTAGAAAGACCGGGGAGTGGTCTCGGGAGGGTTTTGTGAAGGACACACTGACCGGAGGTGACTCCCTGCCTTTCACAGGAACGGGGACGACAGGAAGCGGGGGCAGGGTTCCCCAATCGCTGCCAGCCTCATGCTGGGCTTGCAGAACACCAGGTCTTTGAGTCAGCCTCCCTTGCTGGAGTGGGAGAGCTCTCTGAAGGGCCTGGCTGTGGCAGAATCAGGCAGATATGTGGGGGAAACAGAGAAAACCTGTGCCCCAACAAGGAATGCGACACCACGGGCTTGGCAGGGTTAGGTCTGAAACCAAATCACCGGAAAGAGAAAGCAGGACGGTGAAAGAGTGGTGTCCTGCTGCAGCTGAGAGTCACTGGACCTAGGATTTCTTCCCAGGACTCTAAAACTGCTCAAAGGATAAGATCCGGGTTAAATAGGGATTCATGGAGGCAGGAGTGGGAGCTTTTTTTGAAATAAATAATTTGTGAAAAGCACCTAACTGTGCTGCTCGATTTTCACACCAGCCAATGACAAAGGTTATTACCGCTGTCTTTTTATTTTTTTATTGAGACAGGGTCTCTCTCTGTCGCCCAGGCTGGAGCGCAGTGGTGCTATCTCAGTTCACTGGAACCTCCGCCTCCGAGGTTCAAGCGATTCGTGTGCCTCAGGTTCCTGAGTAGCTGGGACCACAGGCGTGCACCACCACACTCGGCTAAATTTTGTATTTTTAGTAGAAATTGGGTTTTACCATGTTGGCCAGGCTGGTCTTGAACTCCTGGGCTCAAGTGATCCACCCGTCTCAGCCTCTCCAAGTGTTGGGATTATAGGCGTGAGCCACGGTGCCCAGCCCCTCTGTTGTCTTAATGTGGGATGGGAAGAGACTCAGAAATTCAACACCTCGCCCAAACCCCTCATCAGTAGGGAGCAAGGACTTGAACTCAGATCCGATTGGCGGTAAACCCCGGTTCCTTCAGCGTGCCACTCTGCATTCTGGGCAGTGTGGTGCGGTTTCTTAGGGCAGTTGTCCGTGTTTCTAATCATACAGAAACTAACAATGCGAAACAGGCCTCGCAGCAAGAGGCCGCAGCTAAGGGAGGGGTGGCCGCTGCTCCCATGTCGTTGCCAAGACACCCACTGGCCGCCGTCTCCCAGCAGGGGAGGGCCTAAAGGTGCACCGCCAAGTCACAGCCCGTACACCTCTATGCATTGTGGAAATGGCCAATCACTGCAGTGAGTCTGGACCCAGTTTCAACCTCTTTCTTGCTTTCCTGTTTCCTTTGGTTCTTTCCCCTACTTTTCCTTAAAACAGTGACGACTACTTACTCACTGTGGTTGAACAGAAAAAACTGCTCTGGAGTGGGCCCCAAAAAGCCCTGGAATCACCGGTTTGGAACTCAGAGCAAGTGTTCCCGCGCCGAGGACCCAAAAGGCCTCGGTGCAGTTCTTAGATTTCAGAGTTAAACCTGAGAGGATTTTCACCTGTTTGATGAGTGGCCCCTGTGATCTTTTTCTGTGCGTTTTCCTTAGACCATCCTCGTTCTGTGTCCCGCGCCTAGTGAAGGGCTTATTTAAGTTTGCGCAGCACAAGGAAATACAGACTACAAATGCAACCGCGTCTTCCCCAAGTCACCATCAACGGAGCAGGTTTTGCTCTCCCTGGGACTGGCGTGTCACCCTCGGCAGCCAGTCTCCCAGTGCTGATTTTCAATCATGTGTCCATCTGGGAACATGTCAACATAAATAAAAACAGGAATTTTGAATCCTAAGTGTGAACACAGTGAATTTTAGAAAACGCAATTAGAGAAATTCAGATCCACCTGACATCATTGAGCGGCACAGATAATGGCCAAGCCCGAGAGACACCTGTCTGCTTCCGATCCCAGGTGGCACCTGCCTACTCCTGACCCCAGGTGGCACCTGCCACACCACAGCCAGCGCAGCCTGACTAAATATTTCAGCCTCCATTTACATGCTTATCGGGAATCTGGTTTTTATTATTTTGGAGATGCAAATGAGCCTAAATGTTGGTATCTTGCCTGCACGCAACCCCTAAGCTGTCCCTGCATTGTTCTTGATGGACATTTAAAAACCAATCATGCAAATTTTGAAAGGAAATCATCAGAATTTCTTGCACCAAAAGAGAAAGAGATCTTGCATAGGGATAATAATAAAAAGCCCCCTCAAATAAGCAAATGAAGTTTGCTTGAAGCTTCCCTCAAGGTCAGTTTGCAGAACTGCCTTAGAAGATGAAGCTTATGTATTAGCAGAATGAGGCTGAGCAATTTAGATATGGCTAAATCAGCTCTGAGTTAAAAAGAAGCAGCCAAGCTGAAAAAGATACCCTTACTCACACAGTCACAGGATGCATATTAACGTTCTTGAAGGATATACTTGAAAAATTCTGCACTTACCAGTCTAAACCTACTGCAAAACTTCAGGACCAGAAACCCATTTCGAGGATGTCTCAAACCCTGAATCCTTCAGCAAAAGTTGCATTATTTCCTGAGTACGTATAGCCTAAAGGAGTTTGCCCTTGGTCCTTCTCAGTGAATTCAGTAAGATGAACAAAGTGATGGGGACAGTAATTAATAAAAACCTATGCTTTGATTAATCACCCTTTTAGGAAAAAGTAAGATGAAAGAGCCACTTTGACAGCCTGTTCCACCAAGCTGAGGATATATGCTTCTCCAAGCTTTCAGCATCAAGGCTAAATTTTTATTTCTCTTCATCAAGGAAAAAAACAAAAAACAAAGGGGAAAAAATCAGGGTAGGATAAAATCGTTGTTTGTGTTAATGGCCTATTTAACCGATATGTTGCCAATGATTAATTTTTTAGTCCACACTGAAGATAAAACTGTGATTATTTATAGCCCACCTCAAGGTCTTGGCAATGAACATGAAATCTGAGAGATGGACCTAGAGAATTGATTGTTAGAACTGTGACTTGTTTAAGACTCCTGGTTTATGTTCGTTTGATGAACATTGCAGTGCTGGTGATAAAATAGAGAAGAACACGAGCTGTCTTCCTTCACAGCACACACGTTCCCGGAGTCGTGAAAATGGACAGCTGGGGCGTCCGAAGCCCTTTCAGGTGTCCATGTTTCACAGTAACCCCATTTGCCAGAAAGAAGTTTGATACTTACTGAAATGTGTACCGATACCAGCTTATGAATTTTGCCCAATGCTACCTATTTTTGGCATTCAAAGTATCTCTCTGTTGCCATTTATGTCCATATTTCTTTATGAGTCCAGATTTTCCAAATGTTATCACACTAAGTTGAAGAAACTTCTATGGAGTATCAGGCCTCTTTAATTCAGGAGAAATTTCTGAAATTAATGATCATTAAGAGTATTTTGCAAAATAACATATTAGCGAAGCAGTAGCAAATATTTTCTTGTATCCAGATGGTAAGTGATTTGCAATATTATTTTTACATTAAAACAGAGGTCTATTATGGAGTAACCTACAAAATTTTTGCAAATGTTTAGTAATAAACACATAAGCTTTACAAAAATATTTTAGCAGCCTGCTGTATCTTACAGTCACTAGAGCTAGGAATTTATCCTCCTGTGCCCTTGCGGGAATTTTTGGTGGAAAAAAATTATAAATCTTGCTAGAATAATCTAAAAGCAGTCTTAGCTAAGTGCAGTGGCTCATGCCTATGATCCCAGCACTTTGGAAGGCTGAGGTGGGAGGATCACTTGAGGCCAGGAGTTTGAGACCAGCCTGGTCAACATAGCCAGACCCCATGTCTACAAAAAAAAAAAAAGAAACAAAAACAATCCTAATATCTTTTCATGAGAACTAAAAAAGTTAGATTCAACAAAGAACTATTTAATGAGACATTTTTATAGATTAGCACAGAACCTTCTAGGCAAATTAGATGACATATAGCTTATGATAAATTTAAAATTATTGAAAAACCTTGTTTTCATTTTCTGGAGAATCCTTTTAAAAATATTTTGTATAATAATTAATTTTCATTTAATTTCCACCACGATCTTAAGGAATTGTTTCCCAATAGAATTTAAGCAACAAAATTAATCCCATTGCTCCTGAGAATTGTATCATTGACTCCAGGAAAATCCTTCAGTTGTCAATACGTTAAATGTATCCAACATCGAGAAATTGATCAGCATAATCCAGGCATTTGCTTAATCATTCGGCAAGTGTGTACTGATGATTTACAAAGTGGCGGGCACAGTCCCACACTGAGAATAGAGCAGTGAACAAAACAGTCAAAAATCCACACCTCAGGGTGATTGCATTCCAGCAGGGGAGATGGACAAACAAAATATGAGTGCTTTGTCAAAAAAGAAAAAACAAGACAAAAGAAGGATTAAAAAGTGACCCTCAGC